CCTTTGGAGTCTCTTCTACTGAAAATAAATACAGAGAGAGAGAGAGAGAGAGAGAGAGAGAGAGAGAGAGATATTGGGCTGAACACAGTTCTACACATCTGTAATTCCAGCAACTCAGAAGGCTGAATCAGGAAGCCTGGCAACTTAGCAGACCCTATCTAAAAATTAAAAATAAAAAGAATGAGGATTCAATCCTGAGTACCACCTCCCACCCCCCCGCAAAAGAAGAAGAAGAAATTATGTGAATACTTTTTAAAAATCCTTAACCAATTCACAATTTAAAACTCATTGTGTCTCTCAGATTTTATTTATTTATTTATTTTTGGTAATGGGGATTGAACTCACTTAACCACTGAACCATATTCCAAGCCCTTTTTGTTTTTAGAGACAGAGTCTCTCTAAATTGCTCAGAGTCTCATTAAGTTGACTGACCTTGAACTTATGATCCTCCTGCCTTAGCCTCCCAAATTGCTGGGATTACAGGTGTGCACCATCATGCCCAACAGAAGATACTATTTATATTCATTCATTCATACATGCAGGAAATATATAAATATATATGTATTTTCCCCTACTGTCAAAACCACCATGTGCTAGATGCCAAGTCACAAAAATAAATCACACAATTACACCTGACTTTAGGTGGCTTTCATTGGGGAGAAAATAAAAGATACATGAACAAACACAATAATATAAAGTAAAAAAAAAATGTATGCTGGAGTGTGCACAGTGGCACATGCTTGTAGTCCCAGTGACTCAGGAGGCTGAGGCAGGAGAATCGAGAGTTCAAAGCCAGACTCAGCAAAAGCAAGGCATTAAGCAATTCAGTGAGACCTTGTCTCTAAATAAAATACAAAATAGGGCTAGGGTTATGACTCCATGGTAAAGTGCCCCTGAGTTCACTCCCTGGTACTAACTCCCCCATACACCCAAGAAAAGGGGGTCAGAGATTAAGGGCTGCTGAGTTTAGTACCAAAACAAAACAAAAAATACCCCTGGTATTCTGGATATTCACAAAATATTTCAGGATGGAGGGCATCAGAGAAATATCTCTGGAGAAGGTTAAATATTGACCCAAGCATCATTCCTTCAGAATGATGTTATTGATGTGGGGAAAAGGCATTCATTAAGGAGATGGTCTACGTGAGTAGAATCAGAAACATGGGATGGATTTGAAAAAGCAACAATTTGTATACATGTAGGTTTTTTTCTATAA